CGCTCTGTTGCCCAGGCTGGAGTGCAGTGGTGTGATCTCAGTTCACTGCAACCTCCACCTCCCAAGTTCAAGCAATTCCCCTGCCTCAGCCTCCTAAGTAGCTGGGACTACAGGTGCATGCCAGCATGCCCAGCTAATTTTTTGTATTTTAATAGAGATGGGATTTTACCATGTTGGCCAGAATGGTCTGGATCTCCTGACCTTGTGATCCGCCTGCCTCGGCCTCCCAAAGTGCCAGGATTATAGGCATGAGCCACCATGCCAAGTCATAACACTTTTTAATATATATTCAATATAATACACATATTAAATAATGCTCCATTTAATATAGGTCCTCTGTGCAACAGAGGATCTATAAGGCAACAATTTTTTTCCCCTCCATTCAGAATTAAGACTTCAATCATCCTAAATGGCAATGTGAGCATATTTTAAAACAGTTTAGAGGTTATCTTCTCTATCATTGCTTACACCAATGCCACCATCTTAAATTTAAATAGTTCTGACTGCTAAGGAATCTCAACACATTACAGTCACACATTCCCATTCATATAAATCCTGAATTTGAATATATGCCCCAGAGCTTGGGCAAGTCATTTAGTATTTCCAAAGCAGTTTCTTCATCTGTAAAATGGACATGGCCTACCTTCACAGGGATACAAAGACTGAACTAAATGATGTGAAAACAAGTTTGAGAAAAGTACTGATACATATAAATGCTTGTTATGATTGCAAGAGCTCCAAATTCCTACATTTCACTAAAAGAAAGAATTTTGTTCCAGACGTTTGTTCAGATGTAGAAACTGGACTACAGTTGCTGAGTTGGCATTACATACTTTAAAACCAAACAAGTTTCCAGGGACTTTTCCATCTAAAGTTCCTTCTAGGGAAGTACAATAAGATGTTAAAACTTAGGTATCTTCATTTTACCATTTTCACAGGTGGAAGATACACTTTCTTTTCTTTCCTTTTTCTTGAAACTTTGAGACAAGGTCTCACTGTCACCCAGGCTGTACAGTGGCATGATCTTGGCTCACTGCAACCTCGGCCTGCTGTGTTTAAGAGATCCTCCTCCCTCAGCCACCTGAGTAGCTGGGATTATAGGCATGCGTGACCATGCCCAGCTAATTTTTGCATTTTTAGTAGAGATGGGTTTCTCCATGTTGGCCAGGCTGGTGTTGAGCTCCTGACCTCAAATAATTCACACATCTTGGCTTCCCAAAGTGCTGGGATTAGAGACTGTGCCTGGCCTGTGGAGGATACACTTTGTACATTCCTCTCAAGGGCAGGAATAGTATCTTAGCCATCATTTTAGCTACAGTAACTGAACAGACTGTCTGTGTTTAATAAATATTCATCAGAATATACTTTTCCAGAATAAAGTAAAACTTTTGTAAAATATATGTGAGGTGGAAAGAGCTCTGGTAGTGGAGTAGACATTTGCTCTCATGCCATGTATTACCTTACAAGTTCCTCAAGCATCCTGAGGCTTCATTTCCCTTTAAAAAAATCTACCCTGTCAGTAACGCCCCTTTTATCTGATGCCAGACATCCACCCAGAATACTGCAAAAAAGCCCTCTGACTAACAGAAAGAAAACAATTCTAATGAAGTCCATGCATGCACTTTACCCACAGTAGAGGCCTACTGATTCTTAAGTGTGTGTGTGTGTATTTGAGACAGGGTCATGCTCTGTCACTTAGGCTGGAGGGCAATGGCACAATCACAACTCACTGCTGCCTTGATCTTCCAGGCTCAACCAATCCTCCTACCTTAGCCTCCTGAGGAGCTAGGCCAACAGGCACATACCACCAAGCCTGGCTAATTTATTAACATTTTTATTTTGTAGAGATTGGGTTTCCCAGGCTGGTTTTGAATTCCTGGGCTCACATGATTCTCCTGCCTTGGACTCCGAAAGTGCTGGAATTAAAAGCATGCTTTTACACTGTGCTTGGACGTTTTAAGAATGTTACTAATAAACTGTTACTTGGTTATATTTCCTACTGGTGGTTAAAAGCACTAAGATAAGATAGAGCAGACGTCCAAGGAAAGAGAAACTGGGACCCCTAAAGGTTTCCCTTGCTGATACATGAAGTAGAATCCAACCTTTCCAAAAAGGTAGATCCAATTTGATCTAAAAAACACTTGACAAATATTATGCGGACTCCATCTCTTATTTCAAAATTACAGTTAACCTATCTTTAATTACAGTCAAAGATTGAATGCTCAGCGAATACTTCATTTTAATGCTATACACTGCTATCCTACTCATAATACTGGAAGAAATGATAAGCCCTCTTTCATGGCTCACTTTTCCTTATTCAAGTAATGTGCTAACTGTTCTTCCTTTATTTTTTACTACATGACAGTAATGAGTTGCAATGGAAAGGTCATCCAATTTTAACCCAAATTGGAATTATCTAAGAGCATTTTACATACAGAGATAAAATGGGTTTTTATACAGAATTCATTTTACCCTCAATAATGCTAATACACTTTACAGAAGGACAATGTCACTATTTGCTAATGACAGGTAAGTAGCTACTTGTAGTGACCATGTTTGCTGATTATGATCATTAAAGCACACAACAGAACACCAGAGCCAACAGAATAATTAATATTCCTGAGACTGGGCCTGACGCGGTGGCTCATGCCTGTAATCCCAGCACTTTGGGAAGCCAAGGCAGGTGATCACGAGGTCAAGAGTTCGAGACCAGCCTGGCCAATATGGTGAAATCCCCATCTCTACTAAAAATAGAAAAATTAGCCAGGTGTGGTGGCAGGCACGTGTAGTCCCAGCTACTCGGGAGGCTGAGGCACAAGAATAGCTTGAACCAGGGAGGTGGAGGTTGCAGTGAGCCAACACCCCACCATTGCACTCCAGCCTGGGCAACACAGCAAGACAATGTCTCAAAAAAACTTTTTTCTAAGATTATCCTGAAAAGACTCTCATGTATTGCTAATAGAAGTCCAGATGCAAATGCATGTAAGTCTTTTGGAAAGTTAGTTACATTTTTAAGAATCTTGAGCAAACCTGGTTTATGCACTAGATGGATACATGTGAGAAACTAATTTTTAATAAATCTCAGGATAAAAACTGTATATTTAAAAAATCAAAAACAGAACAAAAATAGTTGCGTATCAAATGTGATTACAATTTCTTTTTAAGAAACTGCATTGGAAACAAAGGCTGGAAAGAAATGTTAGCAGTTGGGTAAGGAGACTATGGCTGTTTTCTTTTCTCTGTACGCTGTTTTAAGCTGCACTCGTTTTACAATGAAACCCAGAAAGATGGATGAAGGAAGAAAAGGAGGGCGAGAAGGGGAAGGAACGCTGCTTAAAGGTAAGAAAATAGCCTATTTAGACCAGCTGATTACCACTTAGTTAAAAGCTATAATTAAGCTTTTACCCTAGCAAGGAACTAAGTGATCACAAATGATAACGAAGTCATATATTTGCAATGAAGGGATATCTTACCTAATTGTCATTTGACAGGTGTAGCAAAGGAATTATAATTGCACAATGCTTTACAGTTTACAAAGTGCATTCAAAATATCAGGTCATCTGTCCTTCAAATATTCCTGAAATTGGCTCACATGCCCCATTTTAAGGTTCAGGTAATTGAAGGTTACAGAGAGAGTAATATGCCTTAATAATAATGTCTGTCATTTATCAAATGTTTACTATGTGCCAGACCCTGGGTTAAGTACAATCTTAAGAAAATTAGTCCTATGTTATAGACAGAAAAAGTGAAGGGGCCAGGCGCGGTGCTCACGCCTGAAATCCCAGCACTTTGAGGGGGCCAAGGCAGGCAGATCACTTGAGCCGACAAGTTATAGATCAGTCTGGGCAACTAGGCCAAATCCCGAATGATGGGGAGTGATGGCACCCGCCCGTAGTCCCAACTATTTGGGAGGCTGAGGTGGAAGGATGCCTTGAGCCCAGGAGGCAGAGGTTGTAGTGAGCCGAGATAACGCCATTGCACTCCAGCCTGGGTAGCAGAGGAGACCCCGTATTAAAAAAAAAAAAAGAGGGAGAGAGAGAGTAAATAAAAAGAGAAAGTGGAGGGTAGCTAGGTAGGCACAGTGGCTCATGCCTGTAATCTCAGCACTTTGAAAGCCCAAGACGGGAGGTTCGCTTGAAACCAGGAGTTGGAGACCAGCCTGAGCAACATAGCGAGACCTTGGCTCTACAAAAAAAATTAGCCAAGCTTCGTGGTGTGAGCCTGTAGTCCCAGATACTTGGGAGGCTGAAGCAGGAGATCACTTGAGCCTTGGAGTTCGAGGCTGAAGTGAGCTATGACTGCATCACTGCACTCCAGTTTGGGCGACAGAGCAAGATCCCGTCTCTTAAAAAAAAGAGAAAAGAAAGAAAAAAGGAAAGAGAGAGGTTAGTTGACTCGCTCAAGATCATACAGCTAAGTCACTGCTCTGATTCTAAGCCTTACACTTTAAACAGAAGTCTTGAATTACATATAATTCAACTTCACAAAGCCCTAAAGGGCTCCACCACTAAAGTGGTAGAGTTGGCTTATGATCCAGTCCCATGTTCTCGCTTCAAAGAGTTACCAAGTCCGACAGCCATTATGAGGTTCTATAAGCAAAGGCCCTAGGCCCAATCATACTCAAAAACTCATGTTGGCAGAGAGCCCACGCCTCAGAAGAAAGGCGTGAATAACTAAAGTGGAGGGGACAAAGCCAACAAGTCTTATAATGTACACATTAAGATGGAGCCAAGAATTCAGAGGAAACGCTCTCTACTGGAGCAGCAAGGATAGCAATAAACATCACGATATCAACAATTCCAGCACCTTACACTCCTGTAACCTAGCGCAATTTCCAGAGAGCCTTCAGGTTCATCTCAACGGATCCTCGCAAAAACCTGTGGTCTGGGCTGGGCAGGGCAGAACGGGAAACAGTCTCACTTTACACAAGAAGCCGAAAGGAACGCGGAAAAGGGCCGGGTGGGGAGAAAAGCACGAATTTAAGAGCTAAGGGCAGCCACCTGGGGAGACTAGGCGCCTAGACCGAGTGGAGGAAGAGCACAGGGCCCGCGGCGGTGACAAGGCCCACAGAGGCCGTGGTGCTGGGGCCGTCGTCCGCCGAGGCTCAGGGGCCTTGAAGGTCGGCCCAGGCGCCTATCTACTCACGTTGGACCAGCCGGTCCCCAGAGAAGGTGGAGGAGCAGCTAGTGACCAACGCACAGGGTACGCCCGCAGCCATTGCTGCATTCGCGAGCCGGTTCCTTCAGGCAGCCGCTTCCGCCTTGGGCTGTACCACGGCCGCCGGCGCGAGGGGGAGACACGCCGGGGAGGGCGTTCTCGGAATGACTAGGCTGGCCTGACCCCGCCCCCAACCCCCCTTCCGCTCCCAGCGTGGAACAGGCCAGGCCGCGCGTGGTGTTGCCATGGGGATCAGAGCCCCGGGCTGAAGGTTTCCGCGCTTGGAGACCGCGCCTCCGCGGAGGTAGCAGTTCCCCCTGCCCTAGCCATGGCTCAGAACAGTGACAACCACGACCCTGTCGGATCCATTTTAATCCAGGTGTGAAACGGGCCTTCCCCGGCTCTGCCCAGCTGCGCCACTTACGAGCGAGGCCCGGCGCGTCGATTTGCCGGCGCCCACATTTGGGGCGCAGTCCCTAGACTGCCTCCAACACGCGAGAGCCTCCCAAAAATGCCCACCCTGACCTTCCCCCATGGCCCAGCACACTCCCAGGGACTTACCCTGCAGGTTACGCCCCAGGAACACTATATTCTGCCTCTGGGAAAACTCTAAAACCATTCACCTGGAACTTTTACTTCAGAAAAATTCACCTCATGCTGAGGCACCTTTTTTATTTTTGGAGACGGAGTTTCGCTCTTGTTGCCCAGGCTGGAGTGATTTCGGCTCACTGCAACCTCCGCCTCCCAGGTTCAAGCGATTCTCCTGCCTCAGCCTCCTGAGTAGCTGGGACTACAGGCGCGTGGCACCACACCCAGCTAATTTTTGTATTTTTTAGTAGAGACAGGGTTTCACCATATTGGCCAGCTGGTCTCGAACTCCCGACCTCGTGATGCGCCCTCGTTGGCCTCCCAAAGTACTGGGATTACAGGTGTGAGCCACTGCACCCAACCGAAAGAGATTTTTCATTTGAGAGGGAAAATGTCAGTCTTGACTTAACGAATATTACTCAACAGTTGCACGCAGGTGTTTCTGAAATGGTTATAGAATTTTGTTTTCACATTTACGTCTGGTAGCTTTAAGATATTTCCACATATATCATCAGTTTTAACTATCACATATATAATAGTTGCATTTGACTAAGTTGTTGAGAAACGTTAAGTTAGGAATATTAATGTTGAGAAATATTACGTTTATTAATACTGATGAATGCTGAGTGTGTGACAGAATACGTTGTTTGCTAGGAAGAATGATAGTAAGGAAAACTTAGCCACCCCCACCCCCAAGTAGAAAACTACTTGGGGCATTCCAAAGTGGCAGGACAATATATAAATGTCATACACCTGTGGAAACAATTCTTTAAGTTATCTGACCCTGCCCCCATGGCTCCCTTGTGGAGAATACTTTTTAGAATATGTTTTTTGTTTGTGATCAATAGTAAGCGGCTACCAGCTGACTACTTGGCGTGTTTTGTGTTATGAGAAAATACCGAACACCTGTTGTTAATAATGATCACCTGTTCGGAGAGAATAAAATGCATGGGTCAGCGTTTACCCGGGGCTTTCTGCCTGGTGTTGTCAGGTCCTGAGGCTCTCAGTTTGGAAGGCTGCTGGCCCCCGGGATACACCCACTTGGCTGTTCTATCTGGGTGTCTGCCTCTCACTTCCTTCAGTGCTACCTGGGTGGGGGTCTCTGCGAGCTGGTACTCAGTACTAAGTCTTGAAGTTGTTTGCCTGAGGTCACTCTATCAGAACTGTCACTCAGTACGTCTGAAATGGATCTTGCTCTTGTAACAGATCTAATTTTTCTGTCAGAATTTTGATCTCTTACCTCCCATCTAGGAGAGACTTCCCCTAAATCTACCTTCTCCCAAATACAAGTCCCTGAACTCACCAATTTCATAGACTTACCCATTAAGAATCATACCTAAATCTTTCCTGATCTTTTATCACCATCATCTGGCAATGATTTTAGCCAAACTGCAAAGTCTGAGGGAATAATAGTCCCCACAACACTGCCCTAACTTCAACACTACCTGCAAGTTCCAGGGTCCCCAGAACCACCTCACTTCAGACCAGCTTCATACAAATTTAGGGGCCCCACCCCCACCCTCACATTCAATGATCCACTAGAAGTATTCATAGAACTCAGGAAAGTGCTGTGCTCACACTTACAGTTTTATTATAGTGAAAGGATACAAATTAGCCAAGGGAAGAGATGCATAGCCTGGGGTCCAGGAGGGGTCCGAACATAGAGCTTTTGGTTGTCTTATCCCTGTCCAGTCATGGACGCCCTTACCTTCATTACTTCCTCCCAGCCACAATCTGTGGCAATATGCATAGAATGTTGTAACTAGACAACCTTATATAAGGCTTTGGTGTCCGGAGTTTTTACTGGGCTCAATCTCACACTGCCCTCGTGGCTGACTGTTGATCTCCAGCCCCTCCCGGATACTTTTATTCTCCCACTGCTCCAGAGGTTTGAACTGATACAGCATGGATCAAAACACCCATTATAAATCATGTTGTTGGACTGTGGTGGCCAAAGCCCACAGAGACACTTCTATCCGGCAGGAAATCCTGGGGCCTAGAGATCACCGCCCAGTAGCCAAAGGCAACCTCTCTTTGGGTAAGGTTCATTCTTTGCTGCAGGTACCCCCTCTTTTTATAGATTCCAAATAATTAGAATAGTGGAGACTGCTACCTAGGATACAACATGAGAGTAATAGACAACTGTTGACACTGAATTGTGAAATGGGTTAGAAGACCTAATAGTCATATCCATTTAATCTGCACCCTTACTTGTTTAAAAGGATTACTGTGGACATACTAAGTAAAGGGCTGTGTAGAGGAAGACAGTCTACATGTTAACCAGATTATTAAGGCTGATTTCTGTATAGTATAAAATTCTATTCTCTACATGTAGAATATGTATAGTGAGGAAATTTGGAAGACTTTCCCTACTTTCCCAGTGAATCCTGAGAATTTGTGGGTATGTAGCACTACCCAAATGTGCCAACATGGATTCTACTTCTACTTGAGACTACGATTTATTTCCCTCAGACAGGCTACCAATAATTAGTATGTCTAGTGGAAAGCACCTGAGGGGAAGTCAGAAGCTGAGGTCTGACCATGCCTTTGACACTCTCACAAGTAGTGACTTTGAGCTAGTCACTTCACCTCTCTGGACCTCACTCTCTTCTTTCGTAGGACATATAGTTTGGATTACACCCACTTCTGACTCCAAATTATCCCAATTTCCCCAAAGGTACATAATTTAATGTAAAAGTAGACTTCCTTTGTGGTTAGCCTAGGCAATCAAATTGTTTCTGGCAAGTCAGTGAGTGAATGTGTGTGCATGTGTGTGCAGGCAATAGACTGTAAAGCAGAGGTACTTTTGAATTTCTACTTGTTTTACCCTAATATGGTCAGTTAGGTGTTTCAATCAGATATATGAAACCACTTTTTAGACCAGTGGTTCTCAAAGGTGTTGTAGGCATTATTTTTTAGCCCCAGTTTTACAGAAGACACTAAGGTATGAAGAAGTAAAGCATCTTGCCCATGAATACATCCAGTATGTATTGATCCTTAAATAGGCTATGACATGTTTATGATGTAATCTTGCAGAAGTGTGGTAGTGACTCTGGCATGTTTCCAATAATGCTTTGTGCCTCTTAGAAGCTTTGTTTTTATGCTTCATTAAAATGTGGTGTCTTTTTAATATATCTTTATAATTGCTTGCTTGACTCAAATATTAAACAAGTTTGTGTAACAAGTATTACCTGATCTTATGATTCAGAATTAGGTTTTTAGTTAAAATCCAACAATTGTGTGTTAACATAAAAATCCAGCAATTGTGTGTTCACCCTGATCTTGGAAATAGGGGAGCTCAATTGACAGTTTGCTATTTTCATTGTCTTTCTTAACTACTCTGATTTGTCAGGTGCATACAATATAAAAATGAATGAAATTAGCCCGGTGTGGTGGCTCATGCCTGTATTCCCAGAACTTTGGGAGGCCAAGGTGGGCAGATCACCTGAGGTCAGGAGGTCAGGAGTTCAAGACCAGCCTGGTCAACATAGCAAAACCCCGTCTCTAGTAAAAAATATAAAAATTAGGCAGGCATAGTGGCAGGCCCCTGTAATCCCAGCTACTCAGGAGGCCGAGGCAGGGAGACTTACTTGAACCCAGGAGGCTGAGGTTACAGTAAGCCGAGATTGCACCACTGCACTCCAGTGTGGGCGACAGAGTGAGACTCCATGTCAAAAAAAAAAAAATGAAGTTAAAGATAATTGAGGTGATGAGAATAACTCAGCCAAACTCTATCTTTAGCAGAGATGAAGCAAATGAAATTTTATATTGCTTTTGACAATATAGAAATTGGTTTCGTGGCTCCTGTAAATTCTAGAGCAAATATTTGCTGCATTAAATCTTTCAAGGGCTTCTCATTAAGTAGCTCTGTCCCCAAATTGTCAAAATAATAATCTTTCTCCAAGTAGAAAATTTACAGAAAGAATGGTGTTTGATGATGACAGAGATGATGGATGATATGTAAAATTTCAATATGGGAGATTGGATCTGTTTGAAGAAAGAACAGAGATTTAGAACTCAGTTTCTTTTTCTACCCAAGTCTAGTGTAACTTTTTCTGTAGTACTTGTCTCTATTGCAATTATGCAAACAGGTGGGTGTTGTTAAGAGGGGAGGAGAAAATATCTAGCAAGAAAAGGAAAAACTCTTGAGAAAGATTAGGGAGCAAGTCAATTTATTTAACATTTGAGGAGTATCAGCTATAGCGTGAGGAGATTCACTAGGTTTTACACTTCAGAAGAGAATTAACATTTGTTCAGTGCCCCGCCATGTGCTTAGCACTGTATTAAGTACTTATATTTTTACTCATTTTACTCTTACCACTATTCAGAGTTAGCTATTATTATTCCCATTTTACAGATGAGAACACTAAGCCTCTAAGAGGCTAAGTAACTTTCCCAAGTTCAGTTTAGTAAAGAAGACAGCAGGATTCCAGTTCATATCTGTCAGCACCAAAGCCTATATTTTGATTCATTTTCATACATATTTCCTCGTTTTCATTCAACAATTTTAGGTAGGGTAATTCCTTTTTATTCTGGACAAAGAAATTAGAAATTCAGAAAATTTGGATATATGTGGAAATCATGTGACTAACGGGTGATAAAGCTAGGAATTACGTTCCCTGCCTTTTATTGAGTTCTTTTTATGTACCAAGCCTATTATCTGAAAGTTTTATCTTAAATCTGTTTCTAATGGATTTAAGAAGGAAAAACAGAAATAATATGAATGCATCATTTTTTACAATCTGAGAGACAACTCTGTAAAGAAGTGTCTTTGTCCGCACAAGGCAGGTGGGGGGAAAAAAACCTTTGGTACAGTTTTCTCTCCCTCTAGTAGTTGATAGACGTAATTACGGAAACATACATGGAGCTACAGAAACTGGAAGAGGGAAAGTCAGTACATTCAAGGGAGGAACCAAAAAAAGGCAGGCCTAGAAAGGGCCTTGCCCTTGAACTGCCTCTCTGTGCTTTCCAAATGTCTTCAGACACTAGATGGCAAATCAGCTTGCAGCAGTAATTTGGATAAAACAATAGAAGGAAGTACATCTTTATCCTTAGTGCTTACAAGCAAGCAGTAGCTGTGTTCAAATTTCAATCTGTGAGTACTGAAGCCCTTACCTGACAATTTGTGCAGAGTTCAAATGACCAGATGTATTGGCCAGACTGTGATGCCCATCAGTGAAAAGATGTAAATTCTCATCTTTTGAATACTTGGCTCCACGGGAACATTTGAGACTAATCACTAACACATGCTGGATCAGTGTTGAGTCCAGTTATACTAACAGAAAAAGTAACTTCTTCAAAATGCCTTTAGCAACCCAGTTTGCAGATTGTTATTGGTGTGACTATTGCTGAAACAGGTGTTGGGTTCATAAATTTGCATAACAAAATGTTTTTCTTGTGGCAGCAGCCCATACAATAATTGGTGCCATCTGTATTTATCTGAAGTTTGGTTTCTAATATGAATGCAGAGATTCTTGTGCTTTCTAATTTCACAGTGCCCATTTTATTCTAAGGCTGCCTGATGTTGGAGAGATGTTCATCATTTCCAAGGAAAATACAAATTGAAGGAAAAATGTTTAATAACATATGTTCCTTTTTCTTCAGGGATAATTTTCATTTCTCACTACATAAACCAAAATCAAGGTCACAACACCTAACGAACTACTTCTTCAGAGCAGTAAGTGGGGAAGACCCAGCCTAGGATGGAAAACCAACAGGCACTGACTACACATTTACAATACTTTTTTTGAAAGACATTGATTCTGCTACAGCTTCTTTGCTGGAAGTTTGTTTTCTTTCCTCTTAATCAATTTGTAGAAATTGGAATTTGGCACAAACCTCTTATTCGACTCTTTTACCACTGAATAAAGGAGAAACCGGGCTGGATGCGGTGGCTCATGCCTATAGTCCCCAGTACTTTGGAGGCTGAGGCGGGCGGATTGCCTGAGCTTAGGAGTTCACGACCAGCCTGGGCAACACAGTGACACTCTGTCTCTACTAAAATACAAAAAAATTAGCGGGGTGTGGCGGCGTGTGCCTGTAATCCTAGCTAATTGGGAAGCTGGGCAGGAGAATTATTTGAACCCAGGAGGTGGAGGTTACAGTGAGCCGGAATCCCGCCACTGCACTCCAGCCTGGGAAACAGAGCAAGGCTTCATCTCAAAAAAAAAAAAAAAAAAAAAAAAAAAGGAAAGTGAAACCATTTGAGTTGCAGTTTTATCTCAAATCTATTTCTAATGGGAGAAGGAAAAACAGAAATAATATGAAAGCATTGTTTTTCACAATCTGAGAGACAATCACAGAGCATTCTCAATAAAGAATATCTTAGAAGCATAAAGGTGGTCCTTTTCAATGAATACCATAAAATCAGCTTTATGGCTCTGCCAAGTCAAGTACATTACAAACCTAAATATCTGCTATAGATGGACTGTGAATTCTTTCAATATTTTTCATTTTTATACCTATAGGTCCATGAAGACCTTCATCAGTTAAAGGAGAAATTAACAAAATTCTCACTTGAGGAAAAAGGAGAGACTCTAGACATTGAGAGTCTTGAAACAGCAATCAAAAGGACTGAAATGGGGCTAAGAGTAAGTAGAGCTTGAGATATTAAATAAAATACTGGAAGGAGACAAAGCATCCTCTGGAAGAAAATAATTGTGGTTCTCATAGGACCCTGAGTAATTCTGTACAAAGCTGAATTTAGGATGGTCCTCAGCATTCTTGTTTTATTATTTGTTCTCATTGTAATTATTAACTGATTGATTTATATTGTCATATTTGACAAAGAATTTAAGTAGGTTAAATGTAAGATTATGCAGTGACAGCTCCTAAAATGTGGTTTTATAAAAATAACTTGGAGTATGAAAAATAATTACTGTCACTTGATCTTAGCCAAAAGGCCAAGAAGTGATGAAAAATAATTACTGTCAATCCAACAATATGCCTGATTAAAATATTGTAGATTTTCTGGGATTTACTGAGATTCTAAAAGATAATACAGTTGACTGGGCACAGTGGCACACACCTGTAATCCCAGCACTTTGGGAGGACCAGGCGGGCAGATCACTTGAGTCCAGGAGTTTGAGATCAGCCTGGGAAACATAGCGAAACCCCGTCGCTACAAAAAATTTTTTTAAAAAATTAGGCATGGTGGCACATGACTCTAGTTCCAGCTACTCAGGAGGCTGAGGTGGGAGGAACGCTTGAGCCCAGGAAGTTGAGGCTGCAGTGAGCCTTGATTGCCCCACTGTACTTTAGCCTGGGCTGCAGAGTAAGACACTGTCTCAAAAAAAAATTTTTTAAGTGAATAAAAAATAAGAATTGACTTTCTCCTAATAGCCTAAATGTTTTGAGCTATTTATTTTTATAATGTTATAATCAAGTGGGTAAAACTAAAGAAATATATCAGCATTGGACCAGAGAAATAAAGTAGATAGGAACTTCATTATTACACACAGATCTAAGGTTGGGGGAAAATCCAGTCTTCAGACCAGGAGAAAGCAAGCTAATGGGTTATAAAACAAGCTGATGGGTTCCATCTGCTAAATAAGGTCCATCTCCACCTTCTAGACTTCTAATTTTTGGTGTCTGCTCTTGATTCAGACTTTTACTCTGCTATGCCGCTTCATCTCTCAGCTCCCAAGGCTGTGAGAAATGTGGTGTATTTTGTAGCACATCATTGTCATATTACCTCATGGTGAGAGGACTGGACCCAGATGGAGCCTTTGGATTGGCCCATTTAAATAATGTTACCTAAAGACCAAATACTTTCCTTGGATTCTTGCTTTGAAGTCCCTGTGAGAGAAAGACATTACTCCACGTATGTATTGCCTAGTATATTTACCTGGCTGAAACTTTACTGATTATTTTGTGCAATTTTATTTGTAAAGAGTGCCATAGGGGCTGGGCAATATAGGGAGACTCTGTCTCTACAAAAAATTAATTAGCCAGGCATGGTGGCATGTGTCTGTGGTCCCAGCTGCTCAGGAGGCTGAGGTGGGAGGATTGCTTGAGCCCAGGAGGTCGAGGCTACAGTGAGCCATTATCATACTACTACCCCCTAGCCTGGGCAACAGAGCAAGACCCTGTCAAAAAAAAAAATTTGCCACAGGTCATTCAAGCTTTGAGTCTCAGTAATTTTCTGCTTTTTGGGGTGGTTGAGGTAATTTGGCCTTGAGATACCTAATAATATGTTAGGCATATAATAATACATAGCATCTTGTGGTTTTGGCTTAATTACAGGATTCAGAGTGTTAACCTAATGAAATGAAATAAATTAGCTGAGTATCTTAAGTCCACAATAATTGTTTAAACTTTGACATTTCTGTAACAGATTCACATTGAGAAATATTTGAATGTTGTAAACCAGAATGTATTAACGACTTCTGTTAATGATGAGAGCTTCTATACTCCCCAGGCTTCCAAATGGTAAGTAAAATGGCCATTTAGAGCCCAAAGTCGATAAAATTGAGAACTAACTTTTCTCACTCCAGTGAGATGACTATAAATTAGGCAACATTTTCTTGGCTTTGTTCACATCCTTTCTATTAATTTCAGTAGAGATTTTGGATAAGAAGTTAGTGGTAGATCAAGTACAGTGAACATTGTTGAGATGGGGGATACATAAAAACCAAAACTTCACCACTAGCAGTGTATACATGGAACAGGATTGTTCTTATACCCCTTAATTTTATGCAAATTAAAAAAAATAAGTTAATGGTGGAATTTGGACTTCAATGAAGTGTATTATAGATTATTTTTATTGAGTTCTAATGCTTGACACTATAATAATTATTTCAGTGTCGTAGGTTTTGCTGTTACTCTTTGTTGTTGTTGTTTTATAGTGAAAGGTATTTAAAATTTAACTTTTAAAGGAAACATTTTAATATAAATCAGTTTTCACACAATTTAGATCACATGGTACTTTATGGTTTCCAGAATGTCTTATGTGCTTGATTATACAGATAATTTTGGTATCCAGGGTAAATAAAACAAAAATAAAACTTGCTTGAAATATCTATTATGTGCATCCTATTAAAATTAGAATTGACTTAAAAATAAATGGCCTTGCCTTACCTTCAGACTTTTTACATACGGGCCTGAATTTGAATGAATGTCAATTAAGCTTTTGTACTAAGGTTAAAAATCCTCTAGCCCCTATTTGTATTTTATATATGTACTCAGCATAAATAAATATCAGGCAGTGAAATAAGATTTCATAAATAGTGCACGAGAAGTCAAGGAAAGCTGTAGACATAGCTAAGTCAGTACTGAGGAGCAAAGCTTTGGGTATACATTGGACCTGTCTCCCTTTCTCTACATGAAGGCAGTGCCATAAGCATCCACCATCCTTTGGTACAGGCAGCCCTTTCCTGATCTCCCTATTTTCACCTGGACCTCCTTACAGACATAAACGTCTGTCATCTCTGTATTCATCACAGTTTCATCCCTACTGCCTACAAGACACTTGTATTAGTTATCTATTATATAAGAAACCACTCATGTAATGGCTTAGGACAACAAACACTTTTCATGGGTCAGGAATCTGGGCAGTGAGCTAAATGCCTCTGGCTCAGGGTCTCTCACAAGGTTGCAATTTAAGTATTAACTGGACAATCTCATCTGAAAACTTTGCTTCCAAGCTCGCTCATATTAGTTACTGGCAGGCCTTGCTTCCTCACTATGTGGGTCTCTCTTAGGCTGCCTGAGTATTTCTACAACATGGCAGCTGCTAACCCAAAAGAGATCCAGAGAGTGGAAAAGAGTGCCCTAGATGGAAGCTGCAGTCCTTTTGTAACCGAATCTCGTAAGTGGTATCACTTCTACTCTGTTCTGTTGTAAGAAGTGAGCCAGTAGGTTTAGCCCACATTAAAGGAGAAGGGATTATACAAGGGCATGAATACCAGGGAGTGAGGATCTTTGGGGGCCATCTAGGAGCCAAATGCCACTGTACTCCTCTGTTTATCTTAATGATCCAGCTTTGGTCTCGGTCTCTCTCTCTCTCTCTCTTTCTCTCCCTCCATCCCGCCCCCACTTATGTGTGCATATATATACACATATATATGCATGTATGTGTGTGTGTATATATATATGTATATATACATGTATATATACGTATATATATATATACATATATACACACACATATGCTAGTCCCAGTTTACCGTAGTGTTTTGTACATGGTAGGGCCTCAATAAATGTTTGTGATAATACTTTATCAGAAACATTATATGTGTGTGTATATATGTGTATGTATATATATGTATGTGTGTGTGTGTGTGTGTGTGTGTGTGTGTATGTGATGAGAGCTTCTATACTCCCCAGGCTTCCAAATGGTAAGTATAATGGCCATTTAGAGCCCAAAGTAAATAAAATTGAGAACTAACTTTTCTCACTCCAGATGAGATGATATATATATATATATATGTATATATAATATACATATATACACACATATACATGCATATATATGTGTGTATATATATGGGGGAGAGAGAGAGAGAGAGAGAGAGAGAGAGAGAGAGAGAGAGAGAGAGACAGACAGACAGACTTGATCTTACTTCATTGACCAGGCTGGTCTTCAATGCCTGGACTCAAATGATCCTCCTGCTTGGGCCTCCCAAAGTGCTGGGATTATAGGTGTGAGCCACTATGCCCGGCTCCTCTTCTTTAATAAGCTTTTCCTCAACTCTTCAAATGATTTCTGAATTTATGTAGTATTCATACTATATAACTTATTTGGCATACATCATTTACTACCTTATATTGGTAGTTACTTCTTTGCTCTTGAGGACAGTGACCAAGTCTCATATATCTCAGTAGTACCAGTTTACCATAGTGTCTTGTATATGGTAGGGCCTCAATAAATGTTTGTGATAATACTTTATCCTTTCCATGGATAGTATGTGAAATATGTTTATCTATATTAACTTATTCAATCTTTAAAATAAGTATGTAATTGGCTCGATAAGTATTACCCTCATTTTATAAATATGCAAAAATGAGGTCATAGAAGTTAAAAGACTTGACCAAAATCTGAGAGTTGGTAAAGAGAATGAACATTAGAACCAAAATTTCCTCAGCTTGCAAAGTTCTTTTCACTGATTGAAATCTTCTTTGTATGTATTAGAATAATTAGCCAAAGTCAAAGCATTAAACACTGAGGTACAGAGATAGTAATGAACTATGTATGATTTAGTACTCTTATATTTCTTAAAATGCTGGAAAGAATTATAAGTAACTTCTGCCTTTCTGACAGATTTTTGGCATGTGATCTTATGAGGGGAATAGGAGAAATGTCATTTCAGAATGCTGAGCTTGAGCTGGGAACCTGGAGAAGCAGAAAGGTCTGAATAGCCAAAAGATGTGGACATGATGATACAGGAACACTATGTGTCATCATCACTTCCTTGTAGTATCAACACATTGACCCTCCACAACTCCACAAACTTCTGGGTGAATCTAAAAAACTATTCTCTTCGCTTCTCCCTTATCCTTACTTTGGCATCCTGAATTAGACCATTTTTCTGCCCACATTTAATTCAAGTCAAGAAGTATCAAATGAATTTGTACTATGTGCTAGCACGATGGCTAGTGTTCTTTGGAATTCAAAAGAAGGTCGTTACCTTGAGAACTCTAGCGTCAAGTCAGACAAACTCAGTGCAAATTACGGTGCATGGTGGCACATGAGTAAAAGGTGATATAAGTCTGTCAGGAGATCACCATGGCATGTGTATACCTATGGAACAAACCTGCACATTCTGCACATGAACCCCAGAACTTAAAGTATAATTTTTAAAAAGTGCTAGTTTATACTAATTAAACACTTTAGTTTGTGGTTATTTATATCTTTAATTTTTAGATTTAGAAGTAAAACTATGACTTGAAAATAGGTTAATATACATAATCTTTTAAAACAATCTATAGGGAAAATAATAAAAGGGATTCTTGGAGAAGAAAGTATTAGAGGTTACTTTACCAACTTAAAATATTGGCTCTTAGTTTGAATTCAAGAGAACCTAGCAAGGCAAAGTGCACTGCCTATAGTTGGCAGCCAAGAGGTCTATAGCAGGTGGAGAAGGTGTGTCATCAAAGGATCAAGCATACAAGCCGCAAGAAAAGCAAACAAGAGAAGAGCTATCTGTCACCAATTCTAGTGAAATAATCCAATACTCAAGTTCTACTGTCTCTGTCTTTCTCTTTATCCTCTCATCTTGACAGAGAACCAGGAGTCTGGACTGCAGATTTTCAAGTTATGATAGCTGAAAAGAGCTACCAAGGTAGCAATTGCAGCTACAGAGAACAAAACAGAAAGTATCAGGCAGAAATCTTTTCTTAGACAGTTACCTTTTGCCGAGAAGTGCCCTTCCTTACTAGGGTCTGGAGGAGCAAGGGAAGACACTGACTTCCTTCATGGAGTTAGTTCCTAGAACTGGTACTTGGATCATATCATTTCTGTTCAATACAATAGTCTAATCATTGGCCTTCTTACCAGGAAGATGGGGAGCTGTCGAGTTTGTATGGGCCCTACAAACCTGGAGGAGTGGCAAGAGCATCTCTTAGACCCAGCTGAGAATGTGTAGGGCAAAAGTAGCATGCCATCAGAAATGGAATGAGACAAGACAAGGTTAAAAAAAAACTTGGGAAAAGTCCACACTGGGTTTTCAAAGTAAACAGGCAGGTCCTGAGAGTCAAAATGAAAGTCATAGGGTGTGACTCAGGGAAGAAGAGAAGCAACAGCAGGAAATGGGAATAGATACAAACAAGAGAATCCCAGAGATGGGAGACTATGGCCCATGGCTGACATTTTCTCTGCTCCCAGTCATACCTGATTCTGTACTTGCCCCAAGACACTGTCATGAATAGACTTGGCTTCAGAGTCTGGCATGGACTGCTAGGAGATTATATGCAAAGCAGGTTACAGAGCCCAGAATTTCTTCAAGTTCTCATGCCTACAAGGCGGAGATAGGACAATTCATTGCATTTTTCTTCTATGGTTCCTTAGCAAAGTCCTTAGAATATCCAAGTAGGAAGGTGTTTTTCATTTACCAATGGCACGACTCACTGAAGAGTGGGCAGCTTAGTCACAAGCTTGATCAGGGGATCAAAGAGGAGACTTAACTTTCTCTAAGTTTTGAATTGGGACAGAAGCAGGACCTGGCCTTTTATTGCACATAGCCATCAGTCAAATAAGGTGGGCATATATTCATAATATGTGTATATTTATTTATAAATTATATATTTTTATTATATAAAATAATAAAGCTGTGTTTAGCGAACCCAAATTACCTTAATTTTCTTGCCCAGAGAGGTTACTTCAAAGACAAAGCTTTTGTTAATTATCTTAAATACTTGCTTTACTGGAAAGACCCAGAATATGCCAAGTATCTAAAGTACCCTCAGTGTTTACACATGTTAGAGCTGCTCCA